AAATAAATAAATAAAATATATTATATAAAAGAAATATATGTTATAGATGACATAGAAGATGTATAAAACATATATGATTTCTTAGGATCAATGTCATCCTTTTGATTATTATTATCTATGTCTTCTTTTATATATATCAGATAATATATTAAATAAATACAAAATTTAAAATAAATAAAAATTAATATTAGAAATATTAATGATATTAATTATGTTAATTTTTATGACATGACATAATTATATCAATGTCATCAGGTATCAATGTATATAATTTTGTATTTTTATACAAATACTTAAATTTGGCTTCAATTATATTACAAAAAATTATTATATAATATTGACTTTAAATAATATTATTTAAAAAATATATAATAAAGCTAAATGATATTTTATAAGAATGTAAAAAGTAAAATAAGTGAGAAATAAGTATTAGAAATACTAATTCTTTTTTTAAATAATAATAATAGGTTTGCCTCTAAAAATTAAAGCTCTTATATATATAACTATATTAATAAAAATTTTTTAGTAGAATGTTATTTACTAAATTATAAGATATTTAATAATAAAATTTGTTTTTAGTATTATAGAGGAATGTTAAAAGTATAAGACTATATTTTTAAAAATTAAATTGAATAAAATTTGTATTTTAAATATGTTATTTATCTGATTATAAAATATTTCAAATTTCAAAATTATTTGTTTGATATTCAAGTAAATTTGAAATTAAATTATACTTATTTTTTACATAAAAATGCAAAAAGTAACAAATGTTCTTATTAAAGTTAAATTGTACTAAATCTGTATTATAAAGCTATTTTTATTTTTAAGTAAAGTTATTTGCTTAGTTATGAAATATTTAACATTCAATTTTAAAAATAATTGAATTATACTTTTATATTAAATTATTAGTAAGTGATTTTTTAAAAAATCCAATTTTAAATTTATTTTCAAACCTTAAATTAGAATATTAGGTAATATTAAAATTTATAGCTTTTGGCTAAATATTTACTGAGATATTAATCAAATGTAATTTTAAAATAAAGTAAGTCTCAGTAAATATTTAGCCATAATTATGAAAATTTAATACTAAATATCTTTACTTAAAGTTTGAATATCATTGCTAAAACCTATTTGCAGAATGCAATTTACATTAAAATAAAATAATTCTAATATATAGCACCAAAAAATCATACCTCTTATTAACCCATTTCCAAGTAGAGATGGTAACGGTTGGTCATGATCAGTCAAAGGTCTTCGACTAACTGGTTAACTGACCAATTTTAATTGATCAATTGACCGTTGATTATAGTAATATAATTGAGCAATTTTGGCTTAATAGAAGTTTTAATTTAGTTAATATTAATAATTTTTATTCTTGCTTTAACAATTCTAGCATGGCATTTTTTTAAAACTACTTTGTCATTTTTATTTATTGGCATAGCATTATTGCGAACTTTAATTATTTTATTTTCAAAATTTCAAAATTTTAATTTATATATAATTAAAATAAAATGTCGATTTTGTTATTTAATACAAAGTGTTTTTACTATTTAAAATAATTATTCAGACTCAAGTCAGTCATTTGACCGACCGATATTGATCACGGTTATGCCTGATTATGATTGTGACTATTAGCATTCCTATCCAAGTGCAACTGTTTATTGAAATACAATTGCAAAGTATCATAACTAGTCCAATTTCACCAACCAAATAATTTCAATATATTTTGGTATTCCTAACTACCAATGACCTTAATTTCAAGGTTAAGGCTTTTCACAGTCTCATCAAGTCTGAAACTGCATGTGAAGGACTGATAATAATTATCTAAAGAAAATAAGCGTATTTTAGATTGAAGGTCAAAAAGATATTCCTATAAATAGACATTATAGTAAAAAATTTGGAAAATTCATGTAACTTCGAACATAATAACAATTTATGCCTGAATTCCAAAACTATCACCATCACCAGCAATTAATACTAACACTTCAAGATTCTTACTGAAGATTACTTTACTCATAGAACATATGAGTAAAGCATCAACCTTTTTCTTACGATTTTTAAAGTTTCACTCAAACAAGCTATCTTCATAACCTTGTTCTTCATAATGAATTATTTAGTAGTAGGGTGAACCAACTACAATAGGAACACTACCCAACTTATGATTACGCTGAACTGTTGCAAGAAGTTGTAATCAATACGAAATCTGTCAAGAAAATATGAATTTCTTTTATAATCAAAAGAACTAACTGCCGCGTTCATATTTTCATTCAATCTAAATATTTGAGTTATCAACAAAGGCGTGAACATTATTGTTATCGATAAATGTCTTAACCAATCCTGTACTCTGAACTGCAGTGATGACAAGTGATCCAAATGACCTCAAATGACTTAAATGACTGGTCATATATCATTTGGGTCATTCTAATATTAAATGACAAATGACTTGGTCATTTAAAAATTATATCATGTGATCTCAATAATTCTGGCTAAAATAATTAACGTAATTTAATGATTTGAACGTTTCATAAATATTTCATGTGATATAAATTTTAATTCTGGCCAGCATATAGAATTTGGCCTGTATCACATTTAAATGACCAAATGATAAATGATCTCAAATGACTAGGTCATTCGCTGGTCATTCAAAGATCATTTCAAAATTATCAAATGATCTGGTCATTTGCCATTACTACTGCTGAACTGAGCTTCTGCTAAAAGAAGGAAGAATAAACCAGAACATTAGCTTCCTTAATAATACTAATATATTAACATCAATATATAACTTGTCTTTTTGAGACTCCAAAAAACTAACAACTTGCTCTGGATTCCAATTTTTATTTCTTCATCTGAAAAGAATTGAAAGGAACTTTTTTTGGCAATCATATTCTGGCTTAAGCTTCTTTTTGAGATTGAAAGCATTTAAGAAATCTGCAATTTGACAAGACTGCCAGGCTACCTTTTTCTTTATAGCTGCCTGGCAAAACTCTTGGGTTTCGACAGAGTCATTGGCAAAGCTGTAATAAAACCTTATTGGCAAAACTGTGAAACTCAAAACCATAATAAAATTCAAAAGTCAAAAATTATATTATATACTTATTAACAAATCCGTCGTAATATAGGGTTTCGACTTTTACCATTTGCTAAAATGAGTTTTGCCAGGCAGCTATATTTTCTTTTCAAAAATTGAATTGACTTTTGTCTGCTCTATTATGCTTTCTGAACTTGAAACAACTATTAGCATAACGTCGAATAATTATAGGGCATCAAATGGCGAGCAAGAAACATTTTGAGATCGAATTTTTTTTTATAGCTAATATCATTAGGATTGATGAATAAGCAATTATGACTAATGTAGCACAAATTAACGAAATGATTTATTAGGCAAAGCGTGATCGGATATGTAATCCCTATGCTAAAAATTAAAGCCTTTAAATTCTAACCAATATACAGTAGGATAGTTAAACTATAACCATTGTTTGACAATTACGTATTTATTTAAAAAAAGTTTTCTTTCGAAATTAAATTAAAAACATTACAACAAATCTAATAATTCATCAAATAGCACTTTACCAGAAACTGTAGTAGCCCTAAATGTAATAAAATTTATATCACCTATGGATAAATATTTTACTCGAACAATAGAATCAAAAATATGTAGTTTTTGCGGTGTTAAATACCAACTTGAACATCTACCGGAACTCTTAAAACACATAAAACACATCAAGAGATTTATGAACTCACTAACCAACTAATTCAATCTATATTTTCAACAAGGACAATTGGAATATAATAAATATGTAAGGCCGGGCAAAAAAAATTTTTTAGATTCTCGTGACATAAAATTTTAAATTTGACACGATCACCCGGTTTTTATATCTACAGGGGGGTGAAATAAATATTGAATAATTTTTTCGCGAAGATTTATTACATTAATTTTATATGAAAATTTATTAATTAAAGC